GTTTCTTCCATCTAAAAACAGCTTTTTATTCTGGTAAAAAGTTGGCAGCACTGGAGAGAGCGGCATGCAGTTATCACTCCATTGCTCAGTGTGTCTCTCTCTTTTCTTTGGCACGCTCGCGTCTACACTAACACAGCTGCTCTGCTTCCATACATACACGCACGCACACAGTCGCCGCTGTTGCTGTTACGTATTTGTTTTTGCAAAAATCAAACAATAAATTTTTGTGTTGTTCACTTGCTATTTTAAAAAACATGTCAGAATTGCATAAAACACGCGTGCTTAATTGTTTTTATTTTTGTACCAATATTTTACACAGTTTGCATTATTTTTGGAGCGGGGGCCTGTGCCGCTGGCAGCGGGTTGACTGAACCCACACGCTCACACAAATACACACAGTCGAGCTAGACGATGGCACAGTACGTACCACAGACGAATACGAGCAATAGGCGACTGAAAATCAAAGTGGCAAAAATCAACGGCATAGCGAATTAGTCGGTGAGTGAGGGAATGTGAAGAACGTAGCTATTGGCAGACAAGCAAAACCAGAATCAAAGGGTTTATCGAACACTACAGCCAAAAATGTAAACTTTTTATGTTTACCGAGAAGCTACGCCAACAAAAAATAGCAACAAATCACAAATTTTAACAATATTTGCGGAGAGCGTAAGAATGTGGCATTCTCGCGCGCGCTCTCTCACTCTCCCACTCACTCATATTGTATATATGTATGTATGTGTGTGTCACTTGTCACGTCGCATAGTGCGCCGCACTGTGGGCGGCTGATCGAAAAGCGTGCTGCCAGCTGTTCCAAAAAGCTTATACAATAAATATCGATATAGTTGCAATCGATATCTGTGTTATTCTACTAAATGTTATTCAACAGACTGATCGCTGTCAAACTGCTGAAAAGCGCAAACAGCGCTTTATAATTTTTTGAACATTTTATGTTTTGAATTTTCCTATTTTCATATAAAATATTTATGTTATGTTAGAAAAACTTGTTTATTGAGATATTTTTGCCTGCTAACTGGGTACAGTGGGCCACTAAATTATTATGATTTTGTTTTCTTTTAAGTATATGTATATATGGTTTAATGCTCACTAGATATTAAAATATATTTGAATTATTTACTTAAAGTTACGAATATTTTATAAATTTATATATGTATGTATGCGTGTATGTATGTATATAATATTTACAGTTGTTCATTTAATGCACATGAACACATGTACATTTATGGTATGTTAAATAAATAATAAATTAGTATAAAGCTGAATGCTTTTCTTTCAATTTGTTTTTGTTTTAAAATGCGCTTTCTGGGCGACGACATAATTCATTTACAGTTTTACAGGAATATTACGTATACGTAGCTATAATATATATGTAAGCATAGTGGGGAAACAGTTATAGGTAGTAAAGATTAGTACAGATTTTTAACATTTTTGCATTTCAATTACATTTAAGACACAATTGTTAAGAAAGTTTTTTTTTTTTTTTTTCTTTTTTTTAGAGTAAGGCCATAAAATATGAAATTAGAAATTAAATAGAGTTACATAAATTGCACTAAGAATTATAAAATTTAGCTTAGATTTGTCACGTGCTGCAGAAGTGAAACACAGGTACGATTGATTTTCTCATTTCCTTATCATCTCTTTCATTTTTTTTTTGTTTAGCTGCGGTCTCTATTGTTATACGCTCGCACCTTGGCCACGGTGCACTCGAGCGCCGCCTGGATGTCATTGAAGACGGGCACGCCCTGTCGCTTGGCCAGATCTATTAAATACGAGCGACCGCGATTGTAGTCCTTGATGGCGGCCACAGTTAACTGTAAATAATCCAATGGGAATTTCAATTAGCAATTAGGTTTGATGAATAACTACACATTATACTTGCTATATATTTTCATTCTTCTCTTACCTTTTCACCGCCCAGCACACAATCATCGGGCAGCATTTGCACGGCTAGCACAACGTTGTACATGAGTCCGATGCAGTGGGCAGCCAGCGTCATGGGCGCCAGCGAGCGCGTCTCGTTCGTGATGACAAAGAGCAGCACTCGGCTGGAGTCGAGCAGAGCGGGATTGTAGAGACTCTGGCGCACAGCCACGGGCGGCAACGACCAGCTGAGCGACTCCTCAGCCACCGTCAGCTCCTCCTGTTCCTCCAGCTGCAGCTGATTGCCGCGACACTTTCGACGCGTGCGCACGAACGAGCGTTGTTTCTGCTGCTGTTGCGGATCCTGTGTGGCAGCCACGGGCGGCGGCGTCGTCGATTGCTCTTCCTGCTGTCCGGGCAACTGCTGAATGCTCTCGTGCAGTGCGGGCGTGTGAAAGGTCACGTTCTGGGCCTGCAGATAGGGAGCCGCCAGCTCTTGGCGCCATTTGGTGCGCAGCACACAGCTGCCGCCCAAATAGACATCGCGCAGATCCAAGCCAGAGCAGCAGAGAGCATCGCCGGCACTAGCTATGGAGCTGCTGCTCGAGAATACCGAATCATTGGAGTCGCTCTCCTCCTCCTCCGCCGTATGCTGATTGATGCTGCTGCTGCTGCAGTTGGTGTTCGTGTTGTTGGCATTGTTGTTGCTGTTGCTGTTGCTGCTCACAGCCATAAACGGTTTGGTCTCTATCGTTTTGGTTGTGATTATCTCAGTTGTCTCTATCGATTCCACATTCAGCATTATGTGTGGCTGCAGTTTTTTACCTACGGACGCACCCAGCGGCTGCGGCGACGACGTGCCGCTGTCCCGACTCCGGCTCAACTGCTCGAACAAACTCTGCCGCTCCAGGTCGTGGCCGATGCCGCTGCTGCTATTCGATGGGACGCTGGCATTGCTCGACGTGCGCGATATATTCTTGCTGGCAGCATAATAGATGTCCACATCAGGCGCTGCAAGGCAAGAGAAATAGAGTTTTAGATTAGTCATGTCTCGAGAGACTGCTGCATCTCTTCCAGCTCACCGTTGGTAAAGTAAACCTGAGGCGGCGGTACATTTGTTCCCTTGATGGGCGATATGCAGCCGCTCTCGTGGATCTCCTGCTGCAGCACTGAGAGATAAGCGGAGATCACACAGAACAGATCGAAATCGA